TTTAGTGGGTAGGGGACCCTTGCCTCAGACTTGGCAAGCCAAGGGTCAAGTCTGTGCTTTGACACTAATCGTAGGACTGGAAGGGACTGCGAGAGGTCATCCAATCCAGTGCCCTACTCTCAAGGCAGGGCTAAGTATTATCTAGGCCATCCCTGACAGGTGTTTGTCTAACCTGCTCTTAAAAATCCCCAATGATGGAGATGAAGTGAGCTGTAGCTCACGAAAGCTCATGCTCAAATAAATTGGTTAGTCTCTAAGGTGCCACAAGTACTCCTTTTCTTTTTGCGAATACAGACTAACACGGCTGTTACTCTGAAACCGGAGATTCCACAACCTCCCTAGGCAATTTATTCCAGTGCTTAACCTTCCTGACAGTTAGAAAGTTTTTCCTAATGTCCAACCTAAACCACCCTTGCTGCAATTTAAGTCCATTACTTGTTGTCCTATCCTCAGAGGTTAAGGAGAACAATTTTTCTTCCTCCTCCTTGTAACAAGCTTTTATGGACTTGAAGGTGAATACACATTTAAGGTGTTTATTCATGAGGAATCAACGTGTGTTCTTAGTCTAAGGTTTACCTTGTCCTGCAAACTTGTGTGAAAACTACAACTGCCTTGTTTTCATTAGGATTTCACCTTATGTTAGCTAATTCAAGTTAAGAACACATCTTTTTTCCTAATGAAGCTAATGCCTTAGTCTCTTGGTGCCTCAGTTTCCCATCTGTAAAGTGGGCATAATAGCACTTGCCCAACTCATAACTGTGTTGTAAGGATAAATATATTAAAGTTTGCATGGTGCTCAGATCCTATCAGAATGAGGGGTCTTGTATGTACCTCAGCATATGTCCATGCTTGAAAGTTGTTTGGGGTTATGTCTATCTGCATTAAGTGTTCCTGAACAACTGAATGCGAGCGGCATATCCACACTGCATGATCCCAGGTTAATGTACTTCTCTTTGGGATCATCATGCCCACACACCCCTGCACTGCTCCAAATAAGCACTCAGCCTTCAGGGCAGCAGACATCCCCCAGTGCAATATTCCTCCACTAGGCTCTATGCATTCTGGTATTTTTTTCCACGGTGCCTTGTGGGATAGTTACCCCAAAGCACTGGGATTCTGGAACTCGGGGTCAAACGAATTAATTCCCAACCAATTAGTTCCTCTCACTACATCCCATCATTCTTCTGGCGTTTATGAGCCAGCTCCCTTTTCCAAGCACTTTCACACAGTGTAGCGGAAACACTACTGAGTGCTGTGCCCCTGACGGTCATCACTACAGACAGGTTGCTTCCCATGTGTCCCAAACTGTGGGCAACGGTTTCTGGGGCAGCGCAATACAGGCACCTGGAGAGGAGGCGGCTGAAATCAAGCTGTCGCTTCTGCATGAATTTTTCCTGGAGCGGCTTCCCATGGTGGGCTGCTGTTTTGAGGCACGGCCAACGAGCTGTGATGGGCGGGGCAGGACAGAGATGCAGACCTGGGAGACCAGCAGAGATGGTTCACCCCACAGCTGTAGCGCTGGACCCAGGTACGTGGTGAGTGGTATCTGGAAGCTCGCCACACCCTCATTGCTACCAGTCAGCAACTGCCCAGTGCGGTGTTGGTAGATCAGCCGTTGGGGCTATTGTCATGGAGGTGCAGTGGTGCTATCCGGAATGTGCTGTTGCCCTAGGTCATAAAGCTTGGAGATGCTCAGGGGTTTATTGCTGGAGTTGCATGGTTGGGGTTCTCAAATTGTATATGGGCTAGTGATGGGAACCACATGCTTCTTTTTGTCCCACCCCCAGGACTCAGAATTCATCAACAGTAAGGGGTGTCTCTGCACGGTGCTGCAAGGTCTGGCTGATCACCATAGAAGGTTCATCGGTATTAATGGAGGGTGGTCTGAGAAGGTCCATGATGACAAGACCACTAGAAACTCTGCACCTCATTCTGCAATAATAAACGGAACTGTTGCTTGGCGGACCACGATGGACCTTAATGGTGTTGGATTCCTCATGTCATGTCTGCAACTGCTCAGTGAATGCCAACGACAACCTTGAATTGGTTCTTACTGTGTCCCACAGCATGCTAGCCTCCAAGGAACTTCCATGTTCCCCGCGGCTCATCTGGCGGCTCTGCAAATACTGCAGGGTCAGGCGCTCTGTGCTCGCAACGCTCATCACAGTAGTGCACAGCTGTGCAAGATCCAGGCTTACAGAGATGGCGGATGCGTGGGTTGGCAGGGCTTTTGAAAAGAGGCATGAAACATTATTGGCTGCAGATAAAATTATGGGATGGAGAAAACTGCATCATGAGACATAGAAACCATGTTCCCGGTCCTCCTGTAGAACGCATTTGCTCCCATGAGGCATTGCAAACCCTTCCCCAAACAGCCTGCGCTAGATGGTGGCAAGTTGCACAGTGGCATAGCTACCCACGGTGCACTGCTTTCCGCATCAGTGCAAGTGTTAGTAGTGAGGATGTGCACCACCAACCCATGGAGCATAGTGTGGACATGCAAAAGCGATTTAATTACTCTGGCACCTGTATGTCGACATAACTTAGGTCGACTTAATTTTGTGATGTAAACTTGCCTCAATGACGGGTGGAAGGAAAAGGTGGACAGGCAAGCTGAACATTATGAACAGCCAGAGAGGTGGCTTCTATGAAATGCTTCAACTGGTCAAGGACACAGGGTCAGGGATGTATTATGCCCCTGCTGTGAAGCCAAGGTAGCCTTGCGGACAACCCATCTACTTTAATGTAAGGCTATGGCTACACTATGAAATTAGGTCAATTTTATAGAAGGCTTTTCTCATGATTGCGTGCAGGGACCAGTGATGCATGGTACAAGGCTCATAGCAAGCTTCACTTGGGGATTTTATCCTGTTTCGGGCAAGGCTTTCATGAAATTTCTCAACAACCTCATGACATTTCCAATGACATTCAATGTAATAAGAAATCATCTTACAAGCCCGTGCCAAAAACCACGGGGCTTGTAAGTTGTGTTAAAAACTATTGCCTAGGCATTACACAGATTAATTGCTGTGTAGACCTTTAGGCTCAGGCTGGAGTCCAACTCTGGGATCTTCTGCCCTCCCAGAGCCTGGGCTCCAGCCTGAGCCCGGACGCCTACCCTGAAATTGGATAGCCCCGCAGCCCGGGCTCTGCGAGCCCAAATCAGCTAACTCGGGCCAGCTGCAGGTGTTTTACTGCGGTGTGGAGAGAGCTGTAGCAGGCAGGATGCTGCTCCGAACAGCATTCATATTGCTACAGAAAGTGTGACCCTTTGATCTCTCCGGCCATACCTTGCCCAAATAAATAGCAGCTGCTCTGTAGGACAATGATTCCATACAACCAGCCCCTTTCCTAATAACTTCCATGAATCCACCTCCTGTTCTTTCCAGCTACAAAGAGCGCTCCTACTAGCAATTCGTTACGAGTTATTAGGGTCACTGCAAGCATCCCAAAAAGCAGTGATAGTTTAGGCTGGGATTTTCAAAGGAATCTACATAAAGACAACCTCCTAAGGGAGTTTGGCATCCATCTCCTGTTGAATTTAACTAATTTACTCCAGGCTCCTTCAGAAACACTAGCCCCAGTGCCCTGACTGCTGCTTTACTTACGGGTTATTAGCGGCTGGATGAGGATCTATTGGTTTTTCTTTTGTGAGGGGAGCGGGAGGAAATGTTTGAATAACTAATAATTATGTCTTGAAGTTTTAAAAATACCATGTGTGTCGAGAGCTGGTGAAAGCGGATAGCCCCGGAATTACAAAGGCCTCTTGCTTCTCCAGAGGCAAGTTGGCAGGGAATAATGTGGAATCTGGAAGCAGCTTGGACTGCCCTGGCCCGTGTGGTGGATAAATAATAATATTTAAGCCCTTGTATAGGCCTGTTTGATCTCAAAGCGCTTTACAAAGCTGGGTCAGTAGCGTTAGCTTCATAACACAGATGGGGAAGCTGGCACTGAGAAGCGAAGCGACTTGCATAAGTTGAGCGACTAGCTGTGGCAGAACTGGGAGCGGAGCCCCCAAGGCAGGAAGGCTAGGGCTGTAGATAGCATGTGACTCTGGAAGGCTCCGGTCCAATTCCTTTGGCTGTGTGAATCTTGGCAAGTGCCTTCGGGCTTGTCTACAGGGGAGTTATTCCACTTTGCAAGTGGAATAAGCTGATCTGGAATAAGAGCATCCACGTGTGGAGTTAATCAAGAGCAGTGAATCCACTTTAAATTAGCAGTTTACCTTGTTCCAGATTAATGTTCAAGTGGAGACAAGTCCTAAATGTCTCTGGGCCTCAGGTCCCCCATCTGTAAAATGGGGACGGTAGCGCTGCCCTTCTGCACAGGCATGTGATAAAGATTAAAGATGGTAAGATGCCCAGATATTACAGTAATGGGATCATAAAAGGATGGATAGAAACCCAGGACTCCCAAGTCCTGGTCTATGTGCTGTGTGTCTTAGATACTTCTAGGGCATCCTTCCCCACAGTTTCTAAGCAAGCAACTATGTTGCTTCTCATGTGGCTTGACAGAGGACTCCAGCTAACAGGACTGTCAACCTGGCACCTTTCAGCAGCAGGTGAAAACAAATTCTTAGGGTTACATTAGGTTTTTGGTATGTAGTTTATGTACCTTGGATGCTGCTTCATTAGAATAAATATTTCTATGATACATTCCTATTTAATAGTAGAAAAATAAAATATCAAGGTTCGCTGGTGACCCAGAGCCAAGGGATGCAGCCTGTGGGCCATTCTGCCAGCTCTCCCCACCTGCAGTGAAAACGTGAAAGATGCTTTGTTTCGAAGCCGTTCATCCTCAGCGTCTCCCCCCACCCAAAGCCCGTTTTTTTTTAAAGCAGCCTCATCGTCTCTGTTTGATGAGAAATGCAGGAGACCTAGGAAAAGTCTTTTACAAAACAACACCCACGGTTCTACTAACTTGTTAAACAGAGAGAGGCTGGAAACTGCCAACGCCTCTCCAAGGAAAGACACGAGAGTGAGAGAGAGGAGAGAGAAAAAGCAGGTTATTTATAAAGTCAGGCAGTGGTAGGGTATCTTCACTCAAGTCTGCAAACTGTCTGCTGCTGGGAGGTCACTCCAGAAGAAAAACCTTGCAGTGCCCATGACCTGCAAGCACACTATTTGATCAGGACTGCGGGGCGGGCACCAACCCTGGCAAATTGAGACACACACATGCTCTTTAATACACAGGAGATCAGGCAGACGAACACTGAGGCTTTGGAAAAGGGACTCTGGGTCCGGTAAGTTGATTTCTGAATTTATCATGGGTTGTGCTGCCTTTTTTTTTATTATTATTTGTTTGCATACCTGCACCGCAGAGGGAATGCAACCCCCTCGTCATGCCGGTGGCATGATGTTGACACAGGGAGCCCTGTGAATCACACGCCAATGACATGGATGGCACAGGTCTGAGCCTCAAGGGCTGCTTTGGTTACCACTGGGGGAGCTTTCGCCCTTATTAACAATGCCATTTTTCACTGGTGACTTGTTAGGGAGGGGTGAGACAAGCTAGACAGACAGATTCATGCCAGACTCCAGACCCCCAACCACCACCTACTCCACCCAGCACAACATCTACCTGGCTCTGCATTGGGTTCTAGATGAAGGATATTACCGGGTTAACAGGGTGAGAAGGTGGCAATGATGGGGATGGATGAAGCTCATGCTGTCCGACTCTGGTTGTTCCAGCAAGGTGCCCTATGCAGCACAATCCCAGTTAGACTAGCAGTCAGTGGAATGGGACCAGCTTATTCGTACTGACAGATGAAGATGTTAAACTTGTTTTATCCTACACATGAAAGGGATACAGACCCCACTGTAGAAATGGGGTTGGACAGTGGAAAGCTCCCTACAGGAAGGGGGCTGTAGGTTGAGAGACAAACCCTGTGGACTTGGCATTGGACAGAGGGAAACTGTGCTGTATATGCAAGAGAGGCTCCTTAGGAGCGGGTAGATTGGGGGAAAGACCATCTCAGAATGGTGTGTACTTGCAGGAAGGTACCCCTAGGAACAATAGTGTATAGTGGAGATTCCCCCTTAGGAAAAGTTCCACATAGTGGGAGAGACCTAGGAATTGGGGCAGACCCCCTAGGAATTGTGCCAAATAAGGGGGGACAGAACCCCTAGGAATTGTGCCAAATAGGGGGGACAGACCCCCGAGGAATGGTGCTGTACAGTGGGAAAGGTGGCTTTTAGTGGGGGTGGAGGAAGCCCATTTCTCGGGAAGCAGGAGTAGTATTTTACCAGTCAAGGTACCCCTGGAATGGGAGGAGGAGGAGAGCTGCTCTCTGAAGCAGCCTGCACCGCACACAGACTCAGTAATGCACCACATTTCGGCTGCAGGAACTCCTGTAGGTATGGAAAATGGAAGAAACCCAAGAGCCCAGCCACGGAGTGTTTCAATCCCTCTTTTCTTCCCACACGAGCAGCCTGCCAGCCAGCAGTGTGCCTAGGTGGCGATGCGCAGTCTGGCTCAGAGCAGGACTGTACCCTCTTTGTCTGGAGTGCCGGGATTCCTCATTAGGGCTGGAGCAATAAATATCCCCCCCTTCCTGCAGCTCTGTTCTGTATGTATGTCTGAGTCAGGGCTATGGGTGCTGTGAGGCCCGCTACAAGTAACCTAGAGGCCTCCTGTGATAATTAGTCTGGGGACACCCCTGCCAAAGCCGCAGTTTGGACAGGCTGTCTGCACTGCAGGGGCAGCAAATCCAGATCAGAATGTCCAGCAGGCACCAATTTCACAGCTTTGCAAGGGCCTGGACATGCCTGCAAGGGGACCTCTGATCTTCCACCCTTACTTGGATTATAGTAGCACCAGCCAAGAGCGCAGCCCCATTGCGCTAGGTGCTGTACATACGGGCAGTGATGGTCCTTGTCCCACAAAGCTTACAGTCTAAATACTCCAGACAGAGAAAGAATGGGAAGTGTTATTGCTATCCCCATTTCCAGATAGGGAACTGAGGCCCAGAGCGAGATAAGGTGACGCAGGAAGACGGTGGCAGAGATGGGAGTTGAAGCCCGGTCTCCTACAGCCCAGGCCAGTGCTGTAAGCACAAGGGCAGCCTTCTCCTTCCGCAGAACAGACCTTAACATTAAGTTGGACTCCCAATGCTCAGAATAGCTGGAAGCAGCCCACTCTCCATCATGCTGGTCACTCTGAGACAATAAGGACAGGCCGTTGAATGTTGATGAAGTGCTTTGTGGTACGTACTGGAAGATGCCTCCGTCTCCAGGGTCATTCTCCCCTCCCCCTCTGGGTGGGTGAGCCCAGTCCTGCCCCCACTGGGAGTTTGCTCACTGATTTGAGGGACTCAGCCTGCTCCCATTGTGTTACCACTGCCCCGAGGTCCTGGCGTGTAAGAGGATGAGGTGAAGGACTGAACCTGCTCTCATCCCTTTAACCTCCCCCACTCAGTGCAGCCTGGGGTATTTCCCAGATGCTTTCCAAACTCTTCCTTGCATGCTGTTCTATGCATGCAGAATTAAGGAAGGAGTGTAAGCCACTGTGTGGGTGGTTATATGGCCCTCAGGGCCATGGTGTGCCAAAACCTACTGTCGTTAATGGCAAGGTAGGGCAGTATTATGTAGGTAGGGCTTGTTTAGTTTGCAGAAGAGAAGAGTGAGGGGGGATTTGATAGCAGCCTTCAACTACCTGAGGGGGGGTTCCAAAGAGGATGGAGCGCGGCTGTTCTCAATAGTGGTAGCAGATGACAGAACAAGGAGCAATGGTCTCAAGTTGCAGTGGGGGAGCTCTAGGTTGGATATTAGGAAACACTGTTTCACGAGGAGGGTGGTGAAGCACTGGAATGCGTTACCTAGGGAGGTGGTGGAATCTCCATCCTTAGAGGTTTTTAAGTCCCGGCTTGACAAAGCTCTGGCTGGGACGATTTAGTAGGGGTTGGTCCTGCTTTGAGCAGGGGGTGGGACTAGATGACCTCCTGAGGCCTCTTCCAACCCTAATCTTCTAGGAATCCATGATTCCATTAACCCCATTGTACAGATGTGGAACTGAGGCGCGGGATAGATTAAGTCACTTCCCCAAGTCACGAAAGATGCCTGTGACAAAGCCAGGAATGCCAGGTTTCCTGAGTCTCGATCCAAAGCCCTCTCCAGTAGGCCACCCCTCCTCCCCAGCCAAACAGGCTTTGTCTCATTGCGTCCAGGTGCCTGGGTCTGTGCCTGATGAAATATTAACAGCAACAATTTCATGCCACTAATTTAGCCTCTTTTCTTCTGCATGTAAATTATCCATGAATAGACTTTGATCTTAGTAAACGTGTTTGCGATGCAAAAGTCGATGATGAATGGTTACTTCAGCCTCTGGGTTTCATCGTGACTATTTGTCACTTCAGACAATTGCTATTCATGGGGTCTAATTGGTCACTTAAGTCACAAGGTATTGTTTCTGCTTCCTGAGTGGGTGACGCCTAAAGAGATTCCAAGCAACCACTCATAATGCAAATCTTTATACAGGTCCATGTGCATTAAATATATTTGCAATGTCAGGAGACTTGGGTTCTCTTCTCAGCTCATCACTGACCTGCTGTCTCTGTCTCTCCTCCATCCTGTGTACTTCTTGTCTATATATACTAGGATCAGGAACTCTTACAATGTACAGCTCCGAGCACAATGGGGCTCCAATCTCATTTGTAGCATCTATAGACACTATTGTAATAATAAAATAATAATAATAATAATAAATAAGTTATCATGATCAAAATGTCACTGGCATGAATGTTCACAAAAAGCAAATGAAACGGTGGTGAATTGGATCCAGCTCTCTCTATTACTGCCACTCAAGGGCCCCCACCCGCAGTGGTATGATAATAACACCTGGCTCTTATACAGCACTTGTCATTAGCAGACCTCAAAGCACTTTACAAGGGAGGTCAGTGTCATTATCCCCGTCTGTACTGAAACGCCAAGAAGGGAAGTGACTTGTCCAAGGTCACTCAGAAAACCAGTGACAGAGTCAGGAATAGAACCCAGGTCACCTTGTTCCCTCTCCAATGCTCCAGGCCCCATGATAAACACCCGCCTGCTTCCTATTTCTAGTCACTTGTGCCTGACCTAAAGTTGCTCATATTTTTCCCACTTCTATACAGGTTCCATGAGGTTCTGCACAATGCACTGGGCTTCTGTCCTGATAGTAGCTGGGCTGTGTGGGGTCTCCCTGGGCCAGTATGAAGACGAAGAAGATATGTACTGGCTGCATCAGTACCGTCGCAGCCAGGCGTTGTCCTATAACTACATGCCGTACTACGAGGATGAGGGCCCTCCTTACTCTTATGTCCCGCCTGGGTCCTCCTTTGCGGAGCCCATCCCTGAGCCCGTTTCCCGGGAATGCCCCCAGGAGTGCGACTGCCCCCCCAACTTCTCCACAGCATTGTACTGCGACAGCCGCAACCTGAGGTACCTTCCCTTTGTGCCTTCCAGAATGAAGTACGTCTACTTCCAGAACAACCAGATCACCACCGTCCAAGAGGGGGCTTTCGACAATGCCACGACGCTGGAATGGATTGCGCTGCATGGCAATCAGATAACCAGTGAGAAGATGGGCAAGAAGGTCTTTGCCAAGCTCAAGAACCTGGAGAGGCTGTATCTGGATAACAACAACCTGACCAAGATGCCCAGCCCCCTGCCCAGGTCCCTGAGAGAACTCCACCTGGCTTACAATCAGATCACCAGGATCCCATCCAATGCTCTAGAGGGGTTGGAGAACCTCACTGCCCTGTATCTCAACCACAACCAGATCCATGATATAGGAGCATCTTTCAAAGGGTTAAAGTCCTTGATCCTTGTTGACCTGAGCTACAATCACCTCAGGAAGCTCCCTGATGGCCTCCCAAGCTCTCTTGAGCAGCTCTACCTAGAGCACAACTACATCTACACCATCCCCGATGAGTATTTCAAGGTGTCCCCCAAGCTGCTCTATATCAGGCTGTCCCATAACAGCCTGACCAACGAGGGGCTCTCCTCCAACACCTTCAACACCAGCAGCATCCTAGAGCTCGATCTGTCTTATAACAGGCTCCAGAAGATCCCCCGGGTTAGCACCAACCTCGAGAACCTCTATCTCCAAGGAAACCAAATCAATGGTGAGCAGCATCCCAACCGCAACCTCTTGATGCTAGGGGGTCCCATTGTCAATGGTCAGGACAAGGGGTAGGGAGATGGGGAGCCAGGTTCTGGCACTGTTTGTTGGATGCGGCCTGGTCTAATGGCATGAGCAGAGGGACCGGAACTCAGAAAACCTGAATTCCATTGCGGTCTATACCACTGATTTCTTATGTAGCCTTAGGACAGTCACTTCCCTACTCTGTGCCCCTGTTTGCCCCGTCTACATGGTGAAGTGCTCTGAGATGCTGGGATGCACGGTGCTCTGGTAAGTGCAAGGTGTTATCCTTTTGCTCAGTGGAAGTCTTTCTCGTGTCTGTGAGATTATCTTTTTAAATTCTGCAAGATGAGGTAGAACTCCACAGGGAATTTAAAGGTGAAGAAATAACGTGATTGAGATCATTAATGATCAAAAAAAATACTAGCTGAATTAAATCATCAGAGATCAGGTGACAAAGGTCATTTTAGGTACAAATGATGTGGCTGCACTGAGGATGGGGGATGCCACCGAAAGAAGAGGACATCAGAAAGTATAGTGTATCCGAATAGGATCATATCCCTTTAAATGTTTTGAGAACCCTGTCGTGGCGCTCACTGTGTCCTCTATAATAGAAGCCAGTGAGAGCAGCAGCGTGTAGGTGGCTAAGACTGACATGTTTGTGTATATCGAGTAAACACAGTTATTTGGGACCCAGCTGTGCGCCCATGTGGTTTCTTTATATGAACTTTTGTTGTGAAAAGAGTAAAAAAGCACAACAGAAAAGGTGTGAAAAGAAGAGAAAGAAACTCATCCTTTGTATGGCAGGTGAAAGACAATATTCTGCCCTCCCCCCTCACGCTGGTGCACAGATGAATAACCCTAGAGACCTACATTTGGTTCCCTGCACTGGGATGTAAACTGTGGTGCAAGTGACACACCTGATTCCATTCTCACTTACGTGGGTGTAAATGGGGAGTGACTCCACTGAAGTCAGTGGTGTGGGTGGGAGCAGAATTGGGTCCAGAGGACATAGGTTTGATCAGGAAGGAGGGGTAAGTGGCAAAGTGGTGTAACTTACGCCACGCTTTGGCACTCAGTGGGCGTGCAAGTCTGCAGGGCCCAGATTCAGACCCGAAGAGTGAGCACAACTCCTATTAAACCTAATGGGGACTGTGTCTGCTTACACCAGACCTGAAGCTAACTCTGAGAATATGGGTAATGGTGTAGGTGCACCTACCCATTTACGTGCATGGGCAAAGGCTGCTTTCTGAATGCCAGATCAGCGCAAGGTTTGCTACTTTGCCAGTTACATGCACCTGGTAACATACTCTGTCATTTACACCAAGACTGATTTGACCCATGGGAGTTGCACCAGCTCACTCCAGCTTGCATTTGGCCCATGCAGTCCACTTGTGTCTATGCATTTGGGCTTCTGCCTAACTCAATACTGTATCCATTCCTGGCCTGGAGCACTGGCTTCTTGACATTACTGGCTCGGAAGCCAAAAATAGTGATGCTCCTCTCCCTGGGGTGCTAAAGCACCACAGTGCATCTCTTCCGCCCTGCTGCTGCGAGCATGCAGCGTCATTACAATTAGTGAGAGCTGCTGCCTGGCCTTTCCGGCAGCCTCCTCGGCACAGGGACTAAATCCATCTGCACTGTCCAAGAAACTCCAGTGTGGATTTAGCTGGGAGGGGCCTGGGTGATACTGACACGAAAGCCTGAGCAAATGTCTGAGGGAGGGTCTCCATCAGGGTGGGATGATGGGGTTTGTGCTGGGGTCAGATGGGGCTGGGGGTAACAGGGTCTGTGTTGTCACAGGGATTCTTGTATCTGCTCACGTTGGCAGACCCTGAGCCACCCTAGATCAGAGATTTGTGCACAGGATAAATAGTCTTTCTTGACCAGCGGTTCTCCAGCAGGACCGGCATCGCCAGGCTTTGATGACTGCTGCTGTAGGCTCCGCTTGCCCTGCTCAATGCTGAGCTTCTGTCTGTTTCCTCTTTACTGGTGCACATTACATTCGAAGGCAGGGGTTCTCAACGTTTTTCTTTCTGAGGCCCCCCTCAACACGCTATAAAAATTCCATGGCCCGTCTGTGCCACAACAACTGGTTTTCTGCATATAAAAGCCAGGGCCAGAGTTTGGGGCAATTTCCTGGGGCTCCACGCCATAGAGGGCCCTGTGAAGCTAAGTTGGTCAGACTTTGGCTTCAGCCCCAGGTGGTGGGGCTTCGGCTTTCTGCCCCGGGCCCCAGCAAGTAATAATGGCGGCCCTGCTTGGCGGACCCCCTGAAACCTGCTCGTGGCCCCGAGGGGGCCCTGGGCCCCTGGTTAAGAACCACTGTTCTAAGGGGCTATGGAGTTTCCAGACACCACTGCAGTGTAGCATGGACACAGCTGAATGGGAAGTGACAGAGCCAAGGAATTAGTCTGGTTCACTGGGACAGTGGTGTACCATGTTGCAAGAGACACCAGGTGCTGTGTGAGGTCTCATTCAGAGGACTCCCTCGCAAGTGCTGTCTGTGACTTTGATACGGCCATTACATCACTTGTCACTAGCCGCAGCAGAAGTCCCATCTGTAGGGGCAGCATCTCCTGGTTGGAAAGTTGTTGGCCACCTCTCCTTTTCCATTCCTAAAGTCACTTATTGGTCCCCAGAAACCAACTGCCATTAATGGAAGCTCTGCAAGTCCAGATTGGAGAGGGGATGCAACCCTAAACTGTAGCTTGCATGCTGGCCACTTAGTTAATAATATCTCCAGCTATTCCCAACACACATGGAACAAATACGGGAAGAAGGAAGCCTTCAGTCCGTGACAGCATGTTACTGAAGCAACCCATATCATGGGCTCCAGTAACCAGTACACAAAGGTTACCATGTTCCATAGATGACTCTTCATTCAGAGGGATCCCAAGAAGACACATAGAAAGGACCAGACAAAACCAAGCATCTTTCTTCTTTCAGTCTGCCTCTCTCTCTCTCCCTCCTTACTGGGATCCACTAAACTTCTGCCATCAGCAGCTCTTTAAAATTTCTCCAATTTGGCAGCATCGGGGAATTCAGCTTTGGGCCTGTTTATTCTAAAACCTTGGATCACGCAAAGCAGCTTGGATGTAATAGGCAGATACTTTCACGTCGGAAAGTCTCATGTCAGCATCTAGATTTCTCTCCAAAATATCCAAGTCACAAGAGCAACGTTCCTGTTCAAAATTTGGTTCCCCCCTAAAAGGCAACTGGAAAAATCTTGTCTGAGATTCTAAATGTGCTATTTTGGGGGGTTCCGGAACCTTTAACCTGACAGTCACCACTTTTAATCCAGCCTAGGTCCATTGCTGACCATAAGTCATGAATGTTATTTTCTGAAGGATGTTCAGTACACTGAAGAGGTTTCATCTTATTATTTATTATTGTCTTGCTTATAGACCCAACCGAGATCGGGACCCTATTGTACTAGGGGTTGCATAGACTCATGGTAAGAGACAGTCCTGCCCCAAAGAGCTTGCACGCAGATCCTCAAAGATATTTAGGTGCCTAACTCCTATTTATTTCAGTTTACCTCCAAAGTGGATTACGCTAATTCAGAATAAGGCATTCCTATTCCGAAATAAGAACATCCACACATGGAGTGAATCAGGAATAGTTAGTCTGCTTTAAATTCATATCCTAACTTTTTCTGGATTATTTTTCATGTCAACAAGCCCTTGGTCTCTTTTGCCTTGCTTTGCCAACTGTTTGATGCAGATAAGAGCACTGCCCTACCTCACCGCAGTGTTGTGAGGGTAAATCCATTTTTTAAGAAAATGGGGGGTTCCTAGAGTAATGGTGGCCATATAAGCACTTAAGGCAGGCACCCCAAAAGAGGCCCCTCCAGGTTAGTGGAAGCATCATGTGTGGGAAGCTTGCCCTGTCATTTCCTGTGCTGCTGAGGTTCTGTGGTTAAACAGAAGCCTTTCATCTCCAGAACCAATCTGGCATCTTTCGCCAGGGCGAAATTCACTGAAATAAGAAAACAAATGGAACATATATTTTTTTAAGCTGAATGCCTGGAAAAATCCATTCCTGCTTCACTCCCCTGACAAGCCCTGCGATCCGGATGCTCTGTAATATCAGAGAAACCTGAGCAACAAGCCGTGGCTGCCTGGATCACTTACTTAAATTAAGTGTTCGTGATGCCATCAACTGTTTTAAGGGACATGCGTAGCCCTGCACTGGGGAACTGACAGACATGCAAAACGAGAACAGACTCCCAAATGTTTGCTTTCAACGTGTGCAGTTGTTGAGTCTGCACATAGATGGCGTTAAATCATGCTGGCGCTCAACCCCTTCTGTTTATTTAGTCATGCATTTTTACGGCTGTTTTTGCAGCTGAACTTGAAAATATTCAGTGGGGTTCTCTGAAGACCTTTATTTCCCTGTAGTGAATGAGGAATGCTGCAGATCGACAGAATCGAGAGGCAGTGTTTTGTTTTAACACAGACCTGGCCTCTGCTGAGCTTTTAAGATAATGATGTTATGATCTCCTGGATGGAAGACGTTCTCCCTGTGACCTCATCTCCGATGGACAATATCACTTTGTCTTTAGTGTCATCATCCAAGGATCTCAAAGAACTTTACAAATCCTAATGACTGAAGCTGAGGCAGTGTGGTCCAGTGGATGGGGCATTGAACTAGGTTTCGGGAGAGATTGGTTTGACCCCTGGCTTTGCCACGAACAAGCTGTGTGACTTTTGGGCAAGTCATTTAACCTTCTCACCCACTGACTGTCTTGTCTTCTGAAGCTCTTTAGGGCAAGGGCTGTCTCTCACTATGCGTATGTACGGCACTTAACACAATGGGGCTTGGATCTTGGTTGGAGCCTTTAGATGCTACTGCAGTGTTCCCATGTAGGTAAGTATGTTGGGGTACTCTACATACTAGTACTTAAGTACTTTAAATTTTCTGTACTTAGTACTTGAATTTAAATACATTTTAAAGATACCTAAAGAATAAATAACTTTTTTTATCTACAAATACTTTTTCAAAATAGCTGTTTGAAACCATCACGTCCCACCCAACTGTCCCAGAATCTGGCTGGCCCCCAGAACCCATTGTCCCAGCTTAGGGGTTTCAAGCCTTGAGTGCCGGCTACCAGGGCTTTTTTCTGTTGGCCCCGCTGTTGCACTAGCCAGGGAGGGTGGCAGCCTTGCCCCCCACCCAACCTTCGTTTCTGATTGGTCAATGCAACCAGCAGCGGGAAACCCGCTCCCCGGCCCAGCTGCAATGGGGAGACTTGTTCACAGGCCCTGGGGAAACCCCAGAGCACAAGGCCCCCTTGTATGGATACTTTTCTGCAGCAACAACTCTGTGATGGATCAGTGTCCAAAGAAAAAACAGATAAGCTATTATAAGAATTAGCTTAATTCTTATAATACGGGGGTTGAAAGAACTTGTACATGTACTTATAAATACATCAGTTCTATTTCCACAGCATACTTGTACTTCTTGTAAAGTTCTCTGTAATGGTGTGCTTGGCACTTATATGGAAGTCCATTTTATCAGTACATGTGGCCACACTGTGCTGCTGTAACAGAAATAACAGGGTGTCACAACAGGGAAATGGAGGCAGTGAGAGATGAAGTGACTTGACCAAAGACACATAGTGAAACAGTAGCAGAGGCAGGAATAGAACTCACGTTTCCCATCTCCCTGCTCTTACCATTAGTCAGGGCTACTCCCCCTGTGAAAGAGCGACAGAGGGCCAGCAGACAGCTCAATGCCTATTCCCTGTCCCGCTGCCCCTGGGTGGTGCTGGAGAGATGGAGTCTCACTGTTCTCCCAAGTCTGCGTGTGAGCAGTGCGGTCACCTCCCCGGCTTTAAACAAGGAACATCTGTGCTAACAAATTCTCTCTCCCCGGCTAGGTATTTGTTAAGTCTCCACCAAGTCCTGGAGCTTTGCTGCCCCCTGGTTGCTCTCTTCCTTCCCAAAGGCTGCACGGAAAGCTGGAGCATGCCCCTCTCCAAAACATACCCTCTCCCACAATACAACAGGGGGCTTTCAAGGTTTGCTGTGGCTCTGTAGTGACCCACTGGGATCAGAGCAGCCCCCTTCACTGTTAGCAGACAGATCTTGCTAGAAGTAAGGATAACAGACCCAGCCCTGCTCTGCAAACTACTTCCCTTCCCCATGTTAACAGGAGGGCAGGGTCTGAACCCTCCCTCAGCTACATGAGTGAAACTCCATTGACTTCAGTGGGGTGACTCCTGATTTACACAGGAATGAATGAGAGGAGAATCAGGGCCAGGGCATTTTCTGCCCTTTCAGACATAGCTAGTGATTTTGGTAGCTTCCGTTTGTTGGGTGCCCAACTTTAAGCGTCCTGATTTGCAGACAGAAGGCGCTCAGCGCTGTCTGAAAATCAGGCCTCCTGAAGGTGTTTCAAAATCATTACTCAGTTCGGAAAGTTTTGGCCCTTGTCCAATATATGTTCCAAACCCCACTGAGATAGCCCAAGTGTGGTTTTTAGTTATGGGAGGGATTTTTTTGTGTGTGGGGGGACAACAAAGGGGGCACAGTGGTTCTCAACTGAATTCCAAAGGCCCTGTGTCTGCACTATGGAGCAAGACATTGCAATAAAATGCACTGTATAAAAAAGTGTATTCCCATGGTGCCTAGGCATTCTAGTCATGTCCACTTGTTATGACTATTATTACCCATGGTGCTGTTAGTACTGATCGAGCCGAGGCATGGCGCTTTCCCATCAGGACTGTATGAACACTAGCTAGAGAGTTCTGAGCTCCAGCTGTCTCTTAGTGCTCTGTCTCCTTTTCCCCCTGCAGAATTCTCCATCAGCAGCTTCTGCACACTCGTCGACGTCATGAACTTTTCCAAGCTCCAGGTCTTGCGGCTGGATGGGAATGAGATCCAAAGGAACGCGGTGCCCCCAGATGCCCCCCTCTGCCTGAGACGTGCTGCCGTCATTGAGATTTAACCCCAACCGACCCCCGCCATGCTCCCCCCCTGTCCTCAGGGCAGCACCACACCCATTCCAGTAATCCAGGCTGGGGGAGGCCTTCATTCTTGTTTTAATGCAGCTTGATGGTTTGATTTGGCTTCTGCAATAGCATAATATGGGTGGCACAATAGCAGCCAAAGTAGAAGGGATGTGTCATTAACTCCACCCACTAGCTGCTACCCCTTTTAGCTTATCAGGTCACACCAGTATGGAGGCAGGTCTCTGCTTTGTCCTATAAAAACCCTACTTTTCTCTCTCTAACCAGCCAATCAGTTCTCTTGATGATTCCCCACCATTGTCTTGCTGCCCGCATGTCCATGCGGCTCCCACCAGTATGGGTGGGTTGCCTGGAGGGGACTCAAGTTGTCTCCATTCAGATGCATTGGATTTGAAAGTTTGATGCCAGCTGGGATGGTTTTGGGGTTCATGTTCTGTGTAGGAGGAACTGTGGTAAAGGGATCAGAGACGGGGGAGGAGGAGAATTCAAGTTTTTAAAAGGTGGTGTGGAAAAACAGAACAGGCTATGGGACAGGATGGGGATCATTTGAAGAGAGACTGTGGAAGAGAGGAGCAGAGAGGAAGGGTGAGAGGAAAATTTGAATGGAAAAATTGCAACAATCTATGGGTCAGAACTTCCCCAGGTGTAAATGGGTGTAGCCACATTGACTTCAGGCAGCAGGTTTAAAACAAACAAAAGGGAGTATTTTTTCACAGTCAACCTGTGGAACTCCTTGCCAGAGGATGTTGTGAAGGCCAAGACTATAACAGGGTTCAAAAAAGAACTAGATAAATTCATGGAGGATAGGTCCATCAATGGCTATTAGCAAGGATGGGCAGGGATGGTGTCCCTAGCCTTTGTTTGCCAGAAGCTGGAAACAGGCGACAGGGGGGGCAGATTTGTTTGGTTCAAAGGTTTGCAGGCTAGTTTTTGAGCCCCGCACTTCCCTTCCCTCCTCAGAATGTGGGCAAACCAACACGGCCTATTGCCCGATATGTGGCCAGGTGTCACCATCTAGCTGGAATTTGCCACTAGGATGTTTCAAGCTGAATTGGTCCAAAAGAAAAAATACCAATAGATACATAAAGCCTGGTTCCCATTTATCCTATGGCCCTTTTGAACTGCAAGAGGGTGGCAGAGCGGCTTTAGCGTGAGTGCAATTATCTTAGTGCCAGCGAGACTCTGTGTTGTGGGTTTTTAAATTGATAGACCGTGGGCCAGATTCTGATCTCTGTAACAGTGGTGTCAAACCCGGAACAACTCCATTAGATAAACTATAAGGGTTACAAACCCTCTTGCTTCTAGGTACCGGTTAACCAGCAACTGCTGGAGTTAGGGTGAAACTACTGCTAAGGGAAGCTCGTCCAAGAATTGTCCTGAAGGAATTTCTTGAACATTGCTGTGAAGCCGCTGATACTGGTCACTGTCAGAGACAAGATACCAGACAGATGGGCTCCTGGTCTGAGCTAGTATGACCATTCCTATTGTATGCTAGCCTTCATCTTTCTCTGTAACATTTATAGCGTGCCTGCCACCAAAGTGGCTGCCAATGGAAGTCAGTGAGATGTTACTCTGGATTTTTGCGGGAGATCCAAACGTAACCTCTCCTCTTTGTATTAACTCTTAATTCATAGACACAAACACCCTTAGTGGGCAAAGCAAAAGGCGCATATGTGGCTGAGCAACAGAGATGGATCGACAGGCGGCTGAAACAAAGTTAGCCACGTGAACGTGACACATTTACCAGGCAGCAGCGCTCACAGGTGGGGGGTGCGGTGGGGGGGTTGTCCCTGTCCTGTCAGCCAGCCATGCCAAAGTACCTATAGGTGCTGGAACTAGGAGTGCGGGGGGATGCTGCCGCACCCCCAGGCTTGAAGTGGTTTCCACTATATACAGGGTTTACAGTTTAAAATTCCACCTTTTTCTGCAGGGTGTTTGCATTGGATAACTGAGTTTCTGCCAAACTTTGTCCCCTTCGAGTGGGACGAGTGGAATTTCAAGGCTGCAAGAGCATTAAGTTTCCCAGTTGCACTAAGTTGAAAGTTATAAACTTCTGGCACGACGTAGCAACCTTTTCCAGTCCAGGGAGCAGGAGGGCAGATCTTGGGTGGCAACTTCCTTGGGGTAGTATCATTCTCTGAGCGGCCTTTCCTGCGTCAGCTCCACCAAACGAATTTGCAGGTGACCAGGAGGAGACAGTGCAGCAGCCATAGCTTGTGAGAAAAAGCGTTCTTGTTACTTTCAACTTCTGTGGAATCCAGGTTTGCTAATCACTGCTCCTAACATAGGGATCATACCTTTCTTTCCATGTGCTGCTTGGCTGCAGATGAAGAATGCTACAGTTTAACAAAGTGGCATTCAGAGTCAGTGGTAACTATAATGCGACTCGCCTTGACATTACAATACCAGGCAGGATTCACTCTGGTTCCGTGAGCTTTTGCTTTAAGGCAGACGATCTGATTCTGGAAAGCTGGTTTCATGGTTGTGTGTGAGCCCAGTCAGATGTCGCAATCAAACGAAAGGAGCTGCCCAGACTCACCCTTATTGCAAATTCCCACTGTGCCTTCCCATTGTGGTTAATTGCGTTTGTTAAGTGTGGCACTCTCTGGCTGTACAATTGTTTGCTCTTTTCTCTTGAGGAACTCACAGGGTAGCAAGGCTCGGTCTGCGCTAAGCATCAATCCCCTTGGACTGTTTTGATCTGAAACACCCCTTTTCCCCAGCCCAGATTGGGGTCCCATTTAAAAAAAATCTTGGCGGTGAATCTGAATTTCACAAAAGCCAAAATACCAGCTAGGTTCATTGGACAAGGCAGAGAACAAGGGTCAGGTGACCTTCTGGGGTACTTGGGAAGCTCAAGAGGCCATCTAAACCCTCCACATTTAAACTGCATGCTAACAATATAAAGGAATCTGTACTCTCACCAAAGCATGAATTGTAGATATCATACCAATCAATAAAACCCTTTTTATAATTGCATGGAACGTGTTTCAGGAATGCAAAAAAGAGAGGCCAAGTTCTGACTGTCTGGATGGCAATTAGAGATGGGCCTGAAACAAACACTCCAGAACTTTATAAAGGTTTAAGCCTAAATTTTCAAAAGTGACTAGTGATTTTGGGTACCAAACATGAGATGTTAACCTTCAAGGGGCGTGTTTTTTCAGAGGGCAGGACCCTCAACGCTTGCTGAAAATCAGGAAGTCTCCTAAGAATCTCAAGTTGGGGTTCTAACAACAGAGGTGATCAAGATCACTCGTCATTGTTGCAAAGGGAGACCACAGAGTCCAAACCCAGATCCTAATTTTACAGTCAATACCATGCTCCAAACACTCCTGAGCTTCAGGAGTTTTGAAAATGCATCTCTGGATGCAAATTTTGCAGCTTGGATCCCTCTTCCGTGGTGACTTGGCAAGCTCTCATCTTAATTCTTGTCCATTCCGAAAGGTTCTGGAAGGGGACTTCTGGGCGGAAGGGGTTGTTACTTTAAACAAACAAACCAGCAGCTACCCCAAAATTACGAGAAGCCTGCTGACACCATCACTCAAGGTACCAGATCTGCCACTGGGCTAAAAGGTCAGATAGTCAATTAATGCAAATCATGTAGCACCACTGACCTGTCTGGAAAGTGAGCCGTGGACAGCGCCCTGGTAAAGGCTTTCTGCCAGAAGCCCCATTAGCCAGTAATTTTACTACAATAGCTCTTAGAGGCCCCAATGCACAATTGCTCTCGGTGCTGCATGCCCATATAGTAAACAGAGTCCTTGCTCTAAAGAGTTTGGGGGGGTGGCATCACTCTCTCTGGATACCGCTAAAACATCCATGCACCCAGGGCTTAAATTCAGCCAGAACTGTCTGGAGCAGAGCTCTGGCAAATAGTTTCAAACCCATGAGGCAGAAGCCCTGAGCCCTGGCATGCCCCATGGGGCTGAAGCCCTCAGACCCCACCCAGCAGCTGAAGCATGGAGCCCCGAGTGGGACAGGGCATGGGGGGGGGGGGCGGGGTGCCGGGAAATACTGTATGGGAATTTAAGTCTTGCCTGCACCCCTCACTATAGCCATTGGCTGAGGGGTGTTGCTTTCAAGCAAAGCATCAGAGAGGCAGTGTGATTCACAGGGTAAGGCCCACCTTGATTTTAAATGCATATTTACTGTGATGAGTAAAATCTTTTCCGGCACCACTGTATTTCTGACGCTAGGTGTCAGTGCTGCATGTCAGTTGCATTCAACTTGCTCTGTTTTTAAAGCCTGAGCTGAGATGGGAATGTTCTGCCCAAGTTTTTCAGCCCCAAATACCCACCCATCTGGCACCTCTCCGAAGCCTTGATGAAGAACACCATCCGCACCCTGCAGGATGGGGTAGGTTAAGGCCAGACCTGTGGGAGCTGAGTCTGCAGTCTGAAGTTCCTCCAACTCAACAAGAAGTTGATGGCAGAACAGTGACGGCTGGGCACAACCCCCCAGCTGATTGCTCCATGCTCGGGAGGGTTGGAGTGGGCTAGAACGGGAGGGCCATCAAGCACTCAGGAGGAGGAGAAAGGAAGAAAGATGAATCTAGTAGAATCTAGTTTGGGGACAAGGCACGTGTCTCCAGGGATTCTCCAGAATATTCATGAATCCGGGCTCCCTGACAGCCTTCATCGGCCCCATCCCATGGGAAGGCAGGAGGCAGATAGGGGGATCCAAGGCACGGCCACTGTCAGTGCCTGTTAAAATGAAAAAGGACCTTGGACCCTGCAAGGTTAGAGCAGATCAGAGGCCAGCTATGAGCTACAAGCCCATGAGCAATCCAGGGATCTAGTGATATAGACAGCTCCTCTCTTTTCAGAGGAGAAGCGGATGGGGTGAGGCAAATGGTGCTTCAGACCAGGCTCACCTAAGAAACAGGCTCTTCCTAGGGGGGGTAGGACGAGCCTGAGATAAAGAGTCAATAGATTCCCACAGATTTCTAGGTTGGTCTCCCTAATGTACAGCCACTGGCTGGATGCTGGCACACCACTATCTGGATCAGCTGCCTCCAAATGGGATGCCTTTCCATGCCTGGCATCTCTCCATCCTTCCTACCTGCACCCAAAATCCATTGCCTTCAGGTGGGGGCAACCCCATGGCCCACACTGCCTCTTCACATGGCTTCCCAGGACCATCTAGAGATGAGGCCCACAGATACTTGGGTACTCCCCACTCTGCTCTTGGGAACTGCTAGCACTTTGAGCTAGCCCGCATGGTATTCCAGCAACCCCTTGGGAAGAACGGAAGCCCCTGGAGGTGGAAAATGATGGGGTAAGGGAATGAGAAGTGAGTCTCACCCACCAATGGGACCATTGAGCAAACACAATATGAGTACATCGGCCATCACAAAAGCCAAGATAATCCCTTCTGCACAGAATCTGGGTCACGTCCAGTGAAGTCAAAGGATTTCAGCCAGCGCTGGGAGCGATCCAGGTGTGGAGAACTCCTGAGCCTGTGGGTACCCAGCGTGGGCCTACATAGGAGCACAGCTGTTGCAGCTGGAATAGTCGGGTCAGCCAGGCAGGAGGCTGCCTGGCAGAGAAACTGGGGCAGCGAAAGCTGTAAGGAAATGCTGAGTACCAATTGCCTTGACACAGGTGCGCAGAGCCGAGGTTCCACAAACAGCAGATGGGAGATAATGGCAGTCTCTCTCCTGTAGCTTGCGCCACGAGGGGCTGACAGTACCGGATCCATGGTGCAGGAAGAAGGGAACAGCTTGCAGCCTGACCTAGATAAGGAGAGAGACCTTTAAACAGGCCAGTGCCTGACCACACTGGAGCTCAATATACTCCTCTCTCTCTCTGTCTAGGAGTTGGAAGGAAACGTGTTCATCAGGCGGCACACGTGAAATTCGAGGCTGGGGTTGGCCGCTCATATTCGGAACTTTATGAGCGCCATGTCCAGTGATCCGTGTCTTCCTCATGTCAACTGATTTTGGCTAGCCTTCACTCTTCTTTGCACACCCCGTTACCATATGAGTTTCCTCCCCACCAACTACACTACTCTGTTGCTTCCCTTCTTATCGGCTTGATCATCTACTCTGGTTGAATTCCCATCCCAATCTCCAGGCATCTGCTGTTGTCAGGCTAAGATTAAGTCATAGGCACTATAGGCCAGTGCCTAGGGCCCCAGTGCTTGGATCAGTGTCAGAATCACAATTTTCATTAAAAGCGAAACAAAATGTTTCTAGCCTTCGTCGTTGCAAAGAACATCCCGAAAATATGAACCCAATGCCTGAGTATGCAGACAGCCTGCAACAATAGCTCTGAGAGGTGCGAACTGCCTCATGCATCTCAGTGGGGTGTTAGCTCCAAGACCCACTACACTGGGGGCTTCCTCAATGGAGGACTCACTGCAGTCAAGCCAGACCTTATGTTAAATCTCTAGCAAAGAGAAGGCCAGTGTGTGGGAGGAGAAAAGTGCAGCCGGCCTAGACCACCCACACACCTCAGTTGCTGGGGTAAGTACTGAAAGGTCCCTCTGCCTTTCTTGGGTTTGGAGAGGAGTTCCTGGTACACGATGCATGAGTAAATATGATGTGCCGTGAACCCCTTTCTGTTAGGGGGTCATGCTGGATTATGGAGCTAACGGAGCCAAAGCAACAAGGGAACCCCACAGCAGGAACAGTCGGGGAATCCGAAAGGCTCGGATTGTCACTAGCATGGGAGTTTCAGGGAGCACACTAGGTGTGGTTAAATGGGATCAGTCCCAGACAGTCCCTCTCCAGCAGATGCAGCCCTCCATGCACAGTTGTTCACATACAGTGTGAAGAAGTGAGGTTTTTACCCACGAAAGCTTACGCTCCAATACGTCTGTTAGTCTATAAGGGGCCACAGGACTCTTTGCCCGTGAACATACAGTTCACATACAGTGACTGCTGGATTTCCAGACAAGTGGGAAGTATCAGTGACTCTCATCAGGTGCATGGTCCCTCCTCAGCTGGTGTTAGCCCAATGGGTCTCCCTGCTGACCCCCAACCATGTCTTATAATGCCCACTAAATGCACACATCTGTCTTTCCTCACGATCGTTGGGAAGCAGACAGTTACCAGTGGCTGTGTCCGTGGCTTGGACGTAGGTATACACCAGCTGCAGTGACTGTGTCTGCACGCCCTGGGATTGACTAAACTCCCAAAGTCCTGCCACACGCTCAGGGTCAGCCCGGAGATGGATTCTTTGTGGAGAGGATCAGGCTCAGCATAAGCCCAGGGATGAAGTGTTTGTGAGGAGGGCTCTAGTGTTCTCTTCAGTTGGTCCCAGAGTCCTAGCCAGGGCATTACAGCACACGCCAGGCTGTGCATATCTGGTCCTGGCGTTCGGCAAGTGACCCGACACCCATCTGCCTTCAGTCTCAAAGCCCTGCCAGAGGCAGCCTGCAATCAACCAGAAACATACCATGGCTCACTACCCATCCTCCTTCCTCCATAATAACATCCATTCATCCAGATCAATGGGAGTAGCGGGGCTAGGAATGGGAAACACCCCCCCTGAAGCAGTGCGGGGAGCCCCACTGCCGTGCGGGGCACGAGCATTTGTGGGACAGTTTTTCTCTTGCAAACAGGGCTGCAAATTCCTTCCCTTTCAGATGCTCAGCACCCCCCTCCCCTTCCTGTGCTCAAAAGCTGCCCAAGTGCCCTGTACACACAGCTCTTTGTTCCCAGGTCAGATTTTTGCCTTGGAGCGCGAAGCTGCCCTTCCAAAAACAACAGCCTGGCACCCTGGGACATCTGCATTGGAGGCCCCTGTCTGCTGACCCATCCCACACCCCCAAAGCCATCGAATTTGGCCTGGGGCGAAAAAGAGGGGGAAGAAAACAAAAATTAAGATGCACTGGGGTGGTTCTCGTAGACAGTGGGGTTGAGTCACAGGCAGGTGGGGACTCTGCATATTCTGCTTTTAGGACCAGATCCTCAGGTTGTGTAAATTGGTATAGCACCACTGCATGCCACAAAGCCTTGCAGATTCACACCCAGC